ACCTGTAGAAACGACAGACTGAAGCAAAAGCCTCCATGAAGCCTCGACCACGAAACAACAGGCCCTACACGCCTTAACGCCTACCTTAACCAAAGAACCTACCCTTTTAAGGACGAATATAAAGAAATCATAATAAGAAGCCCTAGAAAAGTAGGTTCTTTAGGGTTCAGGTACCCCTTAGTCCCTGGATCTGAGAGCTCAGGGCCGGCAAGAACCGAACCCAGCAGACTCTCCAAACTCCGTGCCTGCAGAAGCCTCTACCATACCTGGACCTGAGAAGTATGCAGAAGAATCGCTTGTTTTAATGTGCGTTGGGCCAAGAGTTTGCCTACTTCTTGGAGGTTTTAGGTAAGCCTCAGGCATCACCCCCCTCCCCCCCTCAAAATGAGCACTGAAGCATTCAACAGAGTGTGTACCTTGAACCCCTCAACACCAACCACATTGAAACTGAAATGCTACCCTAATACCCCAAAAAATACCTGCGCAAAGCTCAATTAACACTTTAAACCCTGAGATTTAGGGTTTAGGGCTTATAGCCCTAAACCCTATAAGGTTTATAGGACCCTAAATCCTATAGGGTTTATAGGACCCTCAACCCAATAGGGTTTATAGGACCCTAAACCCTATTGTGTTTATAGGGCCCTCAACCCTAATGGGTTTATAGGACCCCCAACCCCACAGGGTTTATAGGGCCCTAAACCCTAAAACGGGTTTGGGGTCCGATACTTTACGGCCTAAAGCCCTCGAGCCCTAAACTGCTGGAGGAGGGGCTGGGGCCAGAGATCGGTCTTCGGCTATCCAAGGCTTGGGTTCACGAAAAAGTGGTCCTTTTCGTTACGGTTTCGAGTTTGGGGTTTAGGGTTTAGGGTTGTAAGGGTTTAGGTTTAGGGTTTAGGGTTTGGGTTGTAGGTTTTGTTGTCGTGTATTATGAGGGGCTTATGTATGCAGTGTACAGTGTACTTGTCAGAGCTTTGTTGTTCATGAAGTCCTTGTGAAGTTATGGGGGTTGGCAAGTCGTCGGGTCTCCAGGAGCTTTTTTGAACCCTCGGGTTTAGGGTTTACCTGGGCCCCAAAAGTATGTAGGGCCATGATTTTACTCACTTTTGGGGGTTGAGGTGGGTTTAGTTAGGGCCAACTTATAGTCTCCATCGTAGTTCCTTTTCGGGGATACCTTATAAAATCCTTAGTATAGAATTGGTTAAACCCAAAAAAGGGACTACAATGGAGACTGTAGGTAATGGTTTCAACCGGAGTTGTTCCGATGCAGGATCCCAGAGCCTCAGAGTTGCCAACAGCTTCAGAAGCATCCCACGGTTTAGGGTTTATAGGGTTTAGGGTTTAGGGTTTGAAAGTAACAAGACTGCTCAAACAGAATGTTCCTCGCTAGCAAGCGATGGCTTCGAGGGGAAGGCAGGGCAAAGCGCTGCAAGACCTCTACTATTTTCGCCTGAGCAGAACACACTGCACAATCCACTCTTGCAAGAGTGCGATGCAGGCATGCCAAGTCTTGGAACTTGCATGCCACCCCGTCCCCAAACAATTTCCGGAACTAAGACTCTTCAAGAATTGTACTTCTCGGATTGTCCAACGGGAGCACACCCTTGGACTTTCGTTTTCTCGCTGATTGCATCTCTGGATCCTCCACGATTCTCCAGCTGTGTCTCATTCTGTAGTACAACTCCAGTTCACGGTTAGTGCCAGCTTTGGTCAGTGCATTGGCCAACTGAGCTTCGGAATGTACCCACCTGATGCAGACTTTAGTCCTCGCCTGGGCCTCTTTAAGACCCAGTAATTCAATATTGCTCTTCTTCTCCGCGCCTTTGATGGCTAAGACTTCTGATTGCAGTTTGTCGAACACATTCCTTGAATCTGTAATGAGGCCGCCCTGGATTTGGCGGACTGTCGCGTCGGGATTCCTGACGTCGACGTTGCTATACAAGATCTCACTCCACTGGTAGCGGGCGTAGTACAGCTGATCTTCTCCGTTGATTGCAGCTTGTACTTCTGCAGCCCCTGGGCTTCTGCACATGCGGTCAATCTTCGTACTGTGCCAACTGACCGGGGTCACGCTGCCCATGTCACCTCTGAACAACGCTTCCCGTCCTAACCCAATGAAGATGCCCTGGGTGCTACCTCCATCTGGCCTGTTTCCATCGGAGGCGTCAACCCAGGCAAACAGAGCCAGGGACTCCTGTGGATGGAAGGCATGGATCTTCATTTTATGCTCGCCTCTCGCCTTGGTATGGTAGAGAAGGAGATTTGCCCTGAGGATGGTACTCACGGTTCCTTTGCTAACCTCAGACAACAAGAGACCCACTTCCGCTGACACGTGCGGCGCCACCTGTTGCGCGTGCCAGCTAAGACCCCCAAGGAGGGTCCGTAGCTGGGATCTCTCACGTTCGGTGATGGGGGCCTCCTTTTCCTTTCGTCGCGACGAGCTCACACAGATCTCGTGGAGTCCTTCAAGGTAGTGAGGCTGAGACAACTCAAACCCAGCCTCCACACGTGTCACCTGAACGCCACACTGGACAAAAGAATCCGTCTCCCAATCGCTCCACTTGAAGCGTTGTTGAATCGCCTGCAGTATTGCTTGCCATTCTTGGTCCTCGGCATCCCCACTGAAAAGAAAATCATCAACGTGCCCAGAAATCATTCCCCGAAGTTGGCCATCTTTCCTCCAGACCCAGGCACAGGAATCCGACCACAAGCGCTGCAACCCTAACCCTTCAAGGAACTCCGCCACGGTACGATACCACTCGAGGGGTGCATCCACTAAGCCGTAGCAGGCTCGTCTGAGCCTGGTGATGCTTCCGACTGGGATTCCCATGGCCTCGCAGATCTCGGGGCTCGGAGTGCAGTACAAAGTATCTTTATACTCTCTCCCCTGAAGGAATGCCCCCGACACGTCTCCTTTCTGGATTCTCCAGCGTCGTGAGGCAGTAAGTTGCAATTGGAATTGTCGGGACTGCCTGGTCATTACTGGAGCTGCAGTCGAGCGGTGCTCGTAGGAAGGGTCCTGGTAGCCAAGTAGCACTGCACGTGCCTTGGCCTTACGCTCCCCACTATCTTTAACCTTCCAGGTGAGTATCCACCTCACGCCGATGGCTTGTTCTCGGGAAGGGTGGAGGTGTTCAGGGAGACACTCAAAGGCTTTGGCCGCAACAAAGTTGCGGACCTCCACGTTTTTCGCTTCTCTGAACTGGGCCTTTTCCTCCGGAGACAGTCTCTTCTCACTCACTTCGACTGCCCTCCTCTTCATAGAACCAATGAAATACCCAGACATGTCGCTAAGGAGCTGCGCCTTCCCTCGTTTGCTGTCTGGGGTTTCAATCTCTACAGCTACAGCTGCGGCCTCGTCGTTCCAGTAGGCGAGGTCCTGAGTGACCCATGCGTTCTCTGAAACTTCCTCCCACCATCGGCGCGCTTCTGGAAACCGCGCGGATCCCATCTCTGAAGCCAAGAGCCCTGACTGGGGCCTTTCCACTCGCCGTGAACTGGTGGCAGGCTCTCGGCCCGCCTCTGCTTCGTCCTCCATAGCCTCAGGATCCCCAGTAGGTCCGGGACGCTTACGGGTGAGTCGCGCCCGTCGTGGTGGGACCTCCTGTTCCACATCCTGAGCCCGGTGCCATTCCTCGACCTCAGGTCTCTCACCTGAGATGTCCTGGTACTGGTTGCCACCGATCTCCTCCGCGACTTTAGTAAAGCTCCACGGCGCCTGCTTGATTTTCAGCTAGCGTCTAGCGTTTCTAGTAGCTCTTCGCGCGGGGACGCGCGGCGAAGTTGTTCTGGACAGCACTTCATGAGGCTGCGTCCACGGACCAGCCACACGGCGCTGCCGGGCTTCAGGGTGCCATCTGGCTCTCGTGCGGTCTCCACCGCCAGGATCCGACCCCGTTTGGAGCCTGGGCTCTTTCGGGATTGGCCCGATTCTTGTGTTCTCGAGAAGAACACCAACTCTCCGGGCTCGAAGTCAAGACGGGGTTTGTGTCTTGAGTTCACTGCCCTCGTGAGTCGCTGCTGGGCTTGCCAGTCCGCATGTGCTTTCTCAGCTTCCTGACGCCACCGGGTAGCTCGCTCAAACTCTCCAGATGCATTCTCAATCAAGTGTTCTGGTGGGAGCGCATGCAGAGTATCCAGAATCCTACCAGTTTCATCGGGGCTCCTACCTAAAGCATGTTGAACCGGACTGAAGCCACGCACCATGTCCCTTTGGTTGAACGTGCGGACTGCCGTGGAAAGGGCTTCTTCAAGTGACAGCTCCGGCTCACTCGTGCAAAGCTTCGTGATCACTTCCTTCAACCCCTTAATCGCGTTTTCACAAGCCCCGATTTTCCAATGCGCTTCTCCCGGAATGATATCCAGGAAGATCCCGTGTTTATCACAATATTCCTCAACCAGGTGACTTCTGAAAGCGCCTGCGGGGTCCAAACGCAAAGTCCTAGGGTGGCCAAAGATTTGACACCAACCTTCCTCGAAATACTGCAAACACGCCATGGCCCCCGGAGCCTGTTTGGGACCCTTGGTTAATATTCTCACGGCTCTGAAGCGCGAGCCTTCATCGAGCACGAGTAGGAACTGCGCGTGGTCCTTCGTGCTGGGATGCTGAATGTGTCCTACATCCGCCGAAACTGTGGCCCACTTGGGCGGCAGTGGTTCCAATGAGGCTACATGTCTGCTGGAAACCTTGGTACGCTCGGCACACACCGAGCATTTAAACCGCTCAGCTTCCTGCAACACCTCACTGGAGGCTCCTCGTCGCTTCAGAGCATCCACCATGTATTTTGTGCTACAATGTCCTGTGGCTGAATGCAGCAAATACAACTTTTTGCGAATCTTCTCTCTCTTCTCTCTCTCCTCTCGGGTTTTCGGGGTTTTTGGAATGGCTTCCTCAGCAGGATAGGCTTCTGGCTGAGTGGCATAGCATTCCTGAGCACGGTTCCACCTAGGCAACCTAAAACCCTGCCTACTCAACAGCCCTCGTTGCTCTTCCGTGAGGTGGTTCACACCTCGACTCGTGTAGGCAGTAAGCGTGATTCTGTTGCCAGTCCATGGCTGTGGGCCATGCCATACCTTTCCGTTGAAGTAGCACAGCTGATGCCGAACGTCCAAATTACGTCCTTCAATCTTTCGGCCATCAGGAAGACACTGAACCACCTTGTCCTCAAGCCTCACATCAGGATCCTCAACCCACAATTCCCCTTTACTATAACTTCCAAACCCACAAATCATGCTGAGCTCCTGGGCATGGTTGTGCACATCTCGGTGAATCGGAAGTTTCTGGTTCCGATTGATGGTGAATGATGACCAATGGTCATGCTCACGAGTCTTGCTCCTGAGAAAGGCGTTCAAGTACTTTACGGTCTCAGGAAACTGGTGGCACACCACGGTCGTGCCATACTGTCCCCCATGACTGAAGGCACCGAACGTCCGGTACTCGGTGGCCTTTCCTATCACCATCTCTCGCTTACCTTTCATAGCACTAGAGGGGAAGGCTTCAAGGAATCCCTCGCAATCGTTGTAGCTATACTTGTCCTGAGTTCGCAGCTGCTTGGCCAGCTCCTCAATTTGGTTCCTATCCCCATCACTGAACAACCTTGCCTCACTCCCACAAGACCTGTCATCCCCACTTGACCCTGAAGGACCCTGTACCAAATCCTCCCCGGGGCCCCGCTTGTTGGTTGGGTGAGTTGGGTCTTCGGGTTTGTCGGGTCCTACTTCTTGACTCGTAACCATATTGCGTCCTAGCAAGCATGCCGCGCACGTGCGCGGAATGCCTGGCCATGCCAGGTCTCCGCAAACACAAAACTCCCCTCGTCCAAAGGCCTCTGGGAGTCCTGTCTGTCCTGCGCACTCCATCTTCACCGCTTGGTAGCTCAGCTCCTGAGTCAGGAGCTGAACTACACGATGTGCGTACTCGGGAGTATATCTCCGGGCTTGTGTGGCTTCGTCGGGTTCCGAGCTAGCATGCTGATACCGGGGGTCACACCTACAGGGCAGGCTCAGGTGTTGGGCCAATCTAGCATGGGTGGTGAGGATCCTCCAACCTTTCTTGCTGAGCCTCCCTTCACTACAACGACAGTTCACACTACACGTAACAGCACTGTGGAGCTGGTGCCTCTGCTGGAACCTTTGTATCGCTGGGAGCCTCCAGGCTTGGCTTGCTTCACTCCACTCCCAGACAACATGAGCTCCCTGTTGAATCGCAGCTTCTGCAATGCACAACCCTCCTATGTACATCCGTTGCGCGTGTTGTCGTTTTTCCTTCAGCGCCTGCTGCTGTGCTTCAGCTCTCTGGTTCATACCCTGTCGTTGCGAAAAGGCACTGCATGGTGTGCGGACCCAGACTACCTGAGGGCGCTCCAGCTGCAACCTTTCTAAACCCAACCGAACCCCAGCCGTAACTGCCAGGTCCACACCATTCCATTCCGCACACCTCACAGCCGCATCCTGGTGGCCTACTGCTTTACAGGCTGCGTCGGCAAGAAGACTCTGAGGTTCACAGCCGATCTCCATCAATACAGGGCGCCCTTGATTGACCAGATCATGAAAAGTCTTGGGAACTAGGCTCCAGGCCGCATCTTCTAACCGAGAGGCACACCCCACGCTAAGCTGGCGGCACTTATCCTGAGTCTTACCGGCGCCTACCGTATGACCCGTAGCTGCGTCTGCCGACTTTCCTGTCGGGTTCTCAGAGGCGGATTGGGCCCGTAACCTCCGATGTAGGCCGCTTGGTACATTTCTAATAGAAATATATTGTGGCCCTATTAAAGGAGGCCACCAGCCGAGATTTCCTGCCCTCCCCGAAGGAATATCAGTAGCTGTGTCAGTGTCCTCGGAGAAAACTGCACTCACAGGTCCTGCTCCGCTGGTGTGCTCACCAACGAAAACTCGCTGCGACTCTCCTTCTTCCGAGGTCGCTCCTCCTTCATGTTCGCCACTTCCTCGCGTAGCGCTGCCACGGAGTGCGCCAAGTCCTGGAGTACCTCCGTCTTGATCGAGACCTCGCTGGCCGCACTGGATGCCGATGGTGCCGCTCGCGCCTTGTACCCCCCCTTCTTTGCTCATGGGCTCCATCGAGGAGGTTCCTGGAGACTTCCCGTTGCGGTCCCCGTCCCGACGGGAATCGGTTCCATCTTCTTGCTCCAGCCACATGGCGAAGCGCCGAAGGTGGATGCAGCATTCCTTTTCCTCGCGGCTCGTCTTGATCACCCAGTCGCAGTACTGACTGAGGGTAGCTGCTCTTGAGCTCCACGTAGGTCATCTGGGCGTGCCTTCCGAAGGATACTTGGTCGTCGGGGGAGCACGCCGTGTGCTCGTAGATGTAGTCCAGGGCCTTTCCCTGGAGTTGCTTGATCGTCTGGAGCGGGTTCACGTCCATCATGAATTTCTCCTGGAGCAACTTGACAAGGTCCGCTTTCTTCCGGGAGGCAGTGTTGAGCTGGGCTATCTTGGTGCGAAGCGGCGTCTTCTGCTTCTTGAAGGCCGTCTTCACGTCGATGCTGCGGGCCTTGTAGCAACCCTCCATACGATGTTGGACCTCGGCTCGGGTCCAGTTGTCCGGAACGTGCTCGCCGATCTCGGTCAACAGCCGCAACATCTCCTCCTTGGTCATGCGGTCCATGGTCTCGTACAGAAGAGGGCTGTGACGAGGAAGAGGAGTCGTGCTTCGAGAGGTCAATCTTGCGAGAAGTCTCGGTAATCACGTGTGCGTTGTTCAATCCTTGAAGTACAATTGGTTCACTCGACCTTATCCTACCATTCACTCTCTGTTCCGGAAATTGTTCAGAAACATGCTTCACCCCTGGCTTGCCTGACTCACCTAACTCCTTCCAATTCCTTTCAGGCGATGGAACCGGAAGGTCATGTCCCTACTCCGCCTTTGGCAGAAAGTCCCGAAGGCTGGGAATCTCCTGAGTGGCTTCTTCAGCATTGGCGTACAAATCATCCTTCAGGGATAGGGTCTGGTGCCCCGTCGCCGAACGGCCCACCTTGATAATCTTCTTCTTATTCAACCGACGGAAAACAACCAGGTCATTGCTGAAATCCAAAACCGCCCCTAGATTCCGCAAGGTGGCCACGGAAAGCAAAATCGGCCCTTCGCCCTTGTTGAGGGGGTGGATGGTGATTTCACCATCCTTCCCGTCTGCCTTGAGGCCTACATTCACAGTGCTCACACAGCGATCAGAGCTCGAGTTGCCGAAGCCGAACGTGGGCGTGTTTTCCACATCTACATTGTGGATCCGAGCATCCCCGTGGAGGGCCTCATTCTGTCTCATGAGGCACTCGAGCGCATGAACTGAGGCCAACGTCCGGGTAGCACCGCCATCAATGATGGCATGTCCTTCACGAACTGCTTCGGATGTAGTCATTGCCTCCGTTCCCAAGTAGGCACTGGCCGTCTCTTCTAGACTGGCGTAGCCCACCGCTCCGTGTTCTCCGAAACAGACGAACGGTGCCTGCTCGTCCTGGGGCTCATCCACCTGCAAGGCTTTGTTGGGTCCATCCTTGCAGTTTGCAGCTCGGTGTCCCACCTTGCCGCACTTCAAACACGTCATGTTGGCATCGCTGTTGTGGCTGTGACCGCCGCCACCACGAGTGGAGGTGGTGCCTGAGGAGCTGCTCTGACTGCGAGGGCCATTGCGGTAGTACTGCCGTCCCAGCTTCACCTGGTGTTGTCGGAACCGGGCCTCCCTAAGAGTCCGCTTCCCCGCTGAGATGGCAGCCATAGCCTCTTGTGCTTCTTGTTCCGCTGCCTGTAGTGCCGCATGGCCTTCCTCGTCAAGCTCCGCCTTGGACATCCAGGCCTCGCCGGCGTCCTCCTCCTCGTGGCCGTCACTTTCACCCATCGCCTCACCGAGGTAGCCCGTGTGACGCCCTTGGTCACGATGCTTCACTTCATGATCGCTCCACTGGTTTCGCAGCTCCTGCACCACTCGGTCCACGTCGTAGCATCCTCCCAGGGCAGTCTGTACCATGTTCCTCTCAGTCTGACTGAGATTCGCGTCTTGTAGTAGGTACCACCCTTGAACGAAGGATGGCAGCAGTTCGGCCTTGGTCACTGCTGCTTCTGGCCTGGGCTGCCACCAGTTGTGGCCGCCATACGGGTAGGACCACCCACCCCACATTCCCCCGTGGTAGTAGGAGTCGTAGTGCCCACATGACCATGACCATGATGTAGCCTGACTCTGCCAGTCTCGCCAGGTATCTTGTGTACTGGCCACGTCTCCTTGATCATCGTCCGGCTCGTCTGGCTCGGCCGTAGGCTCATTGGAGCTGTCCACACTGCTGCGTCGGCTCGGGTACCAGCTCCACGCATCCTGGCGGCCGCCGGTCTCCTCGGTCGGGGTGTTCACCTTGTGTGTTCCGGGCTTCTTCTTCTGACTTGCAATCACACGCTGCAAGGCTTGCTCTGCTCGGAGATAGGCCTCTGCCTTTCTGGTGATATACTCGTTCATAGACTCTTGTGCTTTGCGACGACAATGTTTGAAGTACTTGGAAAGATGCTCCGTCATCTCAGGGATTTGGGGCTTCCCTAAACATTGGCGAAGAAACTCCAGTAGTACTCGCACACCGTCGTAATTCGACACCCAGGTGGGCGTCCTCCCCGACACCATCCTCTTAGCTGCCCCACTCAGCTCCGAGATCAGTCGAGGACCACACAAAGCATGCTTGTGCATCTCCGTTCCTGCTTCGTATAAGTAGCAAGCTTCTTCATATGCAGTAAACGTGTTGGCACTGCCGTCCCACTTGGGGACACCCTCCTTGGTTCGTTCCACTTCACTAGCAGCCATGTCACTCTGCTTCCCCGACGGCCTAGCAGTCGGGGCCTGTCGAAAACAAACGGTCCCTGGATCACCAAGCGTGCCTCGCCCTTCTGACAAGGCTCCGCGCTACCATGAAAGTAACAAGACTGCTCAAGCAGAATGTTCCTCGCTAGCAAGCGATGGCTTCGAGGGGAAGGCAGGGCAAAGCGCTGCAGGACCTCTACTATTTTCGCCTGAGCAGAACACACTGCACAATCCACTCTTGCAAGAGTGCGATGCATGCATGCCAGGTCTTGGAACTTGCAGGGTTTAGGGTTTAGGGTTTAGGGTTTAGGGTTTAGGGTAGGAAGTGGTTAAGCTTCCTCATGTGGGCTAGCATTCATAGGAAAGCCGTATCAAGAGCATTGGTTCATGAACGCGAAGCCTAGTAGAGGTAGGTCTTCTTGAACATGGTTTCGAGAAAGAGCAGTGATAGCCTGGGCAGGCCTACCGGTCTTTGCTGAACGTGCTGGCCCTGCCGCTGTCTCCAATGGGCTCTGAAGGCAGCGACGTATCCTCCTTTCAAAGGATCAGGGTCGACTTATTCGGGGTCGCCATGGCATTGAACTCCTACCAGAATACCTGCAGGTAAATTCAGATGTTAGGGTGGGGTTACGGGTTTAAGGCCTTCGCATTCGGGCGCAAGATCGAGAAGCTGAGGTGTTGGGTGAGTGTTTACTTAGGCTCATGTAGGTAGTTCCTGAAATCAGCGAGTCTTTGGGGTAGATCCCTGAACCCTAAACCCTAAACCAGAGACTTAAGACATCTTAAGACATAGGAGATTGAAGGTCATCCTGAACCCTGAGCCCTACCTTAAAGGCAAGCTTACCTAAACCTTAAACCTGCTCCTTAATGGTTTAGGGTTTAGGGTTTAGGGTTTAGGGCCCTGAACCCTAACAAAACCAAAGCACTGCCCCTTAGCAAGACCTCAGATATGTCAAGTCCCGAAATGGGTCACCCTACTCCTGCCGCTTCAAGCTTCAGCCCTGCAAGTGTGTGGGCTTAAGGGTTTGGATGTAAGAAAGCAAAGAACAATTAAGAACCCTAAACCCTTTGCACTTAAAAGAAACCCTAAACCCTAAACCCGTATTAAGTGATGGGTTCCAGGGTTTTCGTCTCATTTTAGTTTCACAAGCTTTTGAGTAATATTACAAGCAAATTCGGACCCGGATGTTCAGTTTATGGTTTAGTGTGCGAAGATGCATGAGATCTGTGTTCTGGGACTCTGCCTGAATGGCAGCCATATATTGCAAGGAGACGAAAATAATGAAGAGGACTAGCTGAGTGTTTCGGTCCTTCTCCTTGCTCGCTGAGTATGTCTGCTGAACTCTAAACTCCTCCCGGTTCTTGGTGTTTTCAGTAGCGGTTTTTGGGCATGCCTCCGAATATAGCCGTCGGAATATTGGCAAAGTTGTCCTAAACTTAAACCCTAAAATTGTGTTGTAGGATTGCTTACCATATTCATACCAGGACTGCCCAAGGCCCTGTTCCGAATTATGAAGGCCGACATATCGTATAAGCCATCATAGACCTGTTAAGTATGGAATATCCCCAAATCTCAAACTCACAACCCCTGAACCTACATAAACCCTCCCTAAACCCTAAACCCTAAACCCTAAACCCTAAACCCTAAACCCTAAACAGTAGGGGGGCCCGAGCCCTTCTTGTCCCCAGCTTTTCTGAGAAGCCCTAAGCTCTGAACTCTAACTCTAACCCTTAAATCCTAAACCCTGAACCCGAAACCCAAAACCCTAAACCCTAAACCCCTAACCCCCTAAACACTAGTTTACCCTAAACCCTATATCCTAGACCCCTAAACCCTAAACCCCCAAACCCTAAACCCTAAACCCCTAAACCCCTAAACCCTAAAGCCCTAAACCCTAAATTCCTAAACCCTACACCCCTAAACCCCTAAACCTAAACCCTAAACCCTGAACCCCTAAGCCCCGAACCCTGAACCCCGCTTTCCTGACAGGCCTTCTGATGAAGCAGACCTCGGAAATCTCCCGACGATTCCGCCGCTACAAGGAGCCCCAACCCGGGTGTCTATACAAGCGACGGCTTCGGGTTTAGGATTTAGGATTTAGGGTTTAGGGGTTTAGGGTTTCGGGTTTAAGGACAGGGTCGCTGTAGGAGTTCATAGAGTTGACGGTCTAGGGTTTAGGTCTAGAGCCTAGGGCTCTGGAGTTTAGGGTGTTGGTTTTTCCCGGGGTCTTTCAAGGGTCTTGTTAAGGGTCTTATGAGGGTTTGGGTTGGCTGGTCCTAGTCTGTATGGATGTCGGGTTTCGAGTCTAAGTCTAGGGCTTAGTGTTTAGTTTTTCTCAGAGTTTTGGCAGGGATGCATGTGATTTTGCACGGGTTCGGGGTTTCGCTGCCCAACCAAAAGACTGCCAGACTAGCAAGTAACTGCGTTTTCTGTTATTTCTGACTGCCGAGTCCAGTAACGCGCTTCTTTAATGTGTTTCTTTCGTTCAAACTCACTTTCTCGCTTGAGAAAGAAGGCCGGATCTCGTACTGACCTGCTCGGCCGCCGCAATTCCTTTTCCAGAGATTTCAGGCCCTATAAACCCTAAACCCTCAACCCTAAACGGTTCGGATCTCTTCCTGAAGGTTTCCGAGCATCTCCGGTGGGCTAAATCCCAGGCATCTAGCGGTCCGTGATAGGGTTGAGGGTTTAGGGGTTGTGGCTGCTCAATCCATGTACTGATGGTGTTTTTGTTTCGATCTCCGTCTGGTCCTCAAAGTCCACTCCATGTTTGGGTTTGGCAAGCGCTAATTAATAGCTAATTGGATCAGATCATTCGCAGGGGGTGGGCCGGATATTTTTTCAATCTGCTTCAGGAAAGGGGCCTGGTTGAGGAGGGGGGGTGGGCACCAGGTACCGTGATTAGCGCTAGCTGGAGACATTTGAGTCCAGGGACATAGGCTTTGGAGGGGAACGGGGGGTGCCCAGAAAGGTCCAACAAACTCGAAAAAACACGAAAGAGTAGTGCAAGTCCCTCATGTGGATTATCATTCCAAGCCATCATAAGCAAGCCATATAGGATTTTGTGGTTTTACATCGTCCCATGGCTTTGATCTGAACTGAGGACATGTTCATACATGAGCTTCTTCGCGCACCGAATACCCTAAAGCCTCAATCACACCTGAACACGGCGGCTTTGATATCGAACCTCAGATCCTTGATCCCCACTCCTGAGTCGTCTCTCCCTATGCTTCAGGGTGTAGGGCTTTGGGGTTTGAGGGGTTTAGGGTATATAAGTCTCTATGATCGGACCATGTACCTTACGCCATGCCGTATCAAGCTTTGAACCGCTAAACCTTAAACCCCTAAACCCTAGACTCCTAAGCCCAAAACCCTAAAACCAAAAAGCCCTACCCCCCTAAACCCTTAATTAACCCCTAAACCCCAAACGCCTAAACCCCTGCACCCCAAACCCCAAAACCCATCCCCTAGCAGGACCCGGCCCAGGCAACTTGCCAGCATGGCACATGTGTGTGGTTTTCCGGCCTTGGTCACAATGAGTAGTTTAGGGTTTAGAGTTTAGGTCACATGAATAGCTCTCTAAGCTAGGGTCCCTTTTAGAGTCCGTTAAAGGGAACCTGAAACCCTGAACCCTTAACCCTAAACCCTAAAGAACTGTCACGGTTTCTATAAGGTTTCGATATAGGGTCCCTTTTGAAGGGTAGTTCTCTAAGGTAAGGTTTTGTTCTAGGGTTCGTTTATAAGGGTGCCCATACTATTCTGTTAAAAAGGGACCCCAAGGTAGAGAACCATAATATAGGGGCCTCAATAATTAACAAAACTATGTTGGGGCTTCTTCAGTATAACTGTAGTAGAATTTACCCCAATTCCCAGTCTAATTATTCAGACCCCTACATTATCGAGCCCTTGTGGTAACCCTTATGGTATCTCTTTTCACGAACCCCATTCTATTCAGGCCCCTACATTACCCACATGGATGGGCCTGTTTGTTTATCCCTGAACCCAAGCCCCGGTGCTACAAGCACGAGATTTACGAGAATTTAGCGCAGCCTCTAATATAGGGGCCTAAATAGGTACCTATACTATTTTGGGGGGTTCCTTATTATAACTATAGTCGAATGTACCCGGCCCTATTCTAATTGTTAAGGCCTCTGCATTATGCAGAGATCTGGGTTTCGGGAGGTTCGGTGCTTTTCGGCTCATGTCTAGCAGGCTCTGATGAATACGATGACAACACAGGCTGCTTGCTGGACATAGTTTGTAGCAGTAGTGCTAGAGTTTAGACAACGGTAGAGACATGCCTCCTGGTCTAGTTCGGGGGCCGTTTGTTGTTGACTCCAATGTTGAGGTTCCCAGAGAACCCAATACACCTTAATTAAGGAATATAACTTAAGTTAGAGGGGCCTTAATATTATGATTTAAGGTATATTCCTTAATCAAGGGGTATTGGGTTCTCTGGGTTACAGATCAGTCGCAGTAAGGCGGAGCATCCCGGAGGTGCAAAACTAGGCGGCACATTGGGGAAACTTTAAGATTTCCCATATGGTTCCAGTAGAAGTGCCGTACGTATTCAGAGTTGTTTTTTCCAGTTAATGGTGGTTAGGGTTGGGAATGCAATCGGACGGCTATGCCTGGGCATGCTTACAAGTGGTCCAACAGCTTGTGTCCAGGATGTGGGTAGGATGCGAGATGCTGTGACATCACGAAATCTTTACAGCCTATCCCTGGACCCTAAACCGTCTGCCCAAAATCCCAGCCGAAACTCAGAGTGCTGCCCCCTGATCGCAAATCCCATGCCCTGATCCCCAATATGGGAGCCTGATTCAGAAACCGTGGGGCTTTTTTTGGGGTTCCGTACACGAATCCTAACATTTTGGGGTTATAGGGCCAGGGTTTCTTAATCAGGTTCCTGCATGAAGACCATACCTACAGTTCCTGTAACGGGTTACCTTACAGGGCTTTAGGGTTTAGGGAGATTGTAGTTCATTTTTGGGGTTACCCT